AAAATATCAACTGCTGGAGTGCAGTAGGAGGTGATTATCGTAGTTGCATGACTGTTATACCACGAAACCGGTTACTGAATGAAATATCAACTTCTGGAGTGCAGTAGGTGGTGATTATCGTAGTTGCATGACTGTTATACCACGAAACCGGTTACTGAATGAAATATCAACTTCTGGAGTGCAGTAGGTGGTGATTATCGTAGTTGCAGTTTCTTTGGCGCACCACTCTCGGCTACGGATAAACTAATAACTGGTTGAGGATGGGGGGTCATTTTTTTTTAGCTTGAGACCTACAGATTTATTTCGAAATTCCTCTGTACTTTGAAACTTCCTGCTCTGTTTGGGATTGGGTCCAAAGGTGAACTCGGTTATTCCTTTTTTTTTAACCTTCAAGTTACCGACTTGTTTTATGTCGTTCACTATCCGTAAAATTTATGTTTTTGCCTGTTACGACACTGTACAAAGAATTGAAGAAGAAACATTAAGTGAAACCAACCATTCTGTATGTTTTTGACGGAATTACAGTAATGATTACGAGATTAATTACAATATTGATATGTTTTTCTTTAAGCTTTGTGTGTGTCTCGTATGTTACTAGGGGATTTTTAACCCCAAAAATTATGGTTTGTTTGTTGTTAAGTGCAAAGTTACACAATGGGCTATCTGTGCTGTGCCACCGCGGGTATCGAAACCTGGTTTTTGTTTTTTTCGCGTTATAAGGCTTTCGGAGTTACCGCTGAGCCACACCGGGGGGTGAGGGAGGTTCAAAGCAATGAAGCCACAAGCATGTGGGCGCATAAATAGTTTAGTAGTTATAGTTTTAGTGTCGTGTTCTGGCGAGAGGTGCTGGTTTGGTGGAACAACTGGTGTATCAACTGTCTGGCGTGATTGTTAAAATCGCTTTATCTTCCGATTCGTGTGACACAGCTAGACGTAAATACACATTCACTCCAATCACGAGCTCTCCACCGACCTTGAAATAAAGACTAAACAACCCCTTGATAACATTATTAATATTTGTAAGAATATCCAATAGATGGTGCTGTTTATTTCTCATACATGACTGATTTATAATATTACGTTCTGGTTACAACTGTATCCATATATATCAAACCAGTAGTACTTATCTTTTGTTAGGAGCAAGAAACCTTTATGAACACGATGTGTAGAACTACATTCAGTGTATTTTAACCTCGTAGTAAAGAGCGTTGAAGAGTAATATGACAGTTTCTAGTGCCTATACACGATAGTAACCATTGTAACCTGAGGTGGGGGTTTAAACTCCACGTATATTGGAAATCGAAAAGCTTGTTCCTTATTGATTGTACTTGCAGTAACCAGACGCATGTTCGTCATTTTGATCAATTTTGATGAGTTTTTTTCGTTATGTGTATATATATATATACGCATACGTACGTACGTGCATTCATAGTTACG